GCCTGTTGGCATTCCAGCCTTCCTTCGCCTTTCATGGCCACATATCTTTCTGGCTAAGGAATGGGAAATGCTTATCCTGTTAAGGAAGGCTGTTCACCAGGTAAGGCCTCCCATCCGGTCGAGAAGAAAGGGATTCCTTTGAAAGATAGGGGAGTATACAAAGCGAAAAGACGAGTAAGGGACGGGGAGGGGGAGGCTCTCGAAACCAAACGAGACTAGAAGGAACATGGGAATTAGCACCATTCATATGAGTGATTTTGTCTCGAAGAGGCAACAAAGGGGCAGCCCTCTATCTCTATCTCGGTCTCCGTTTAGCATCATATATCGATCTGGAGAACATTTTGATTGGTTGTAGTGCGGATTAAGGAGCTGCTCCTCCATGTTGTGGCTATGGAGGCTCATCAACGTGTAAGCTGCACCATGTTGAATGAGAGAATGGCATTCCCTTTCAATTGAGATATTGCGTATGATAAGAGAGATAAAGGTTCCTTTTTTTCCGATATGCTGCTCCGCGAGCAAGGAGCGATAGAAGATAATATTATGTAATGAATAACAAGAGTATGGCACTATAGGGGAATCCAACACCTAGTGATTTACATTTTACACCTTATCTTCTAGACTTTCGGTGGAAAAACCAGTCGGGTCTTCCAGCAGGAGTTCCACGCCTTTTTAACCCGCATAAAAAAAAAGTCTTGCGCCGGGCATGATCCCGGTGTCGAGCAGAGCAGAGCAAATTAAAAAATTTGAATGAGAAATCATTTTCAAATTAGACTCTATGGTAGTCACAAATGTTGTTATCGATTTAAAACTTTTCTAGTGTTCTATTTAGACTTACATCACAATATCTTTTTCTTCCTCATTCTTATTTTGGTTTTCGTCTCACGGATCTTGGTTCGCGCTTTATGGCATTTCCACTATAATAAGTGTAAGGATTCATGGGTACCTAAGATTGAGAAAACTTTTTCCATTTCTACGTGTATTGTTTGTTTCTATATGTATTTCACAGGGTTCGTGCAGACCTAGGTGGGATAGGAGAATTGATAAAGGGAATAGAGATGATGATAGAGATCATACTAAGAAACAGAAGAATTCCGTACGGGTACAACTTTTATTTGAAAGAAGTGAAAAAAATGCGATCTTCGTTGTCTAATAGAACAAAGACTAATACCTTAATTGAGTCGGTCAAGATCAAATCTGTTTATTAAAGTGCTTCTCCGATTGCTTAAGATATCTCTTTTCAACCGAGGAACAAAACAAGATCATTTCGCTCCATTTTTAGTCAAATAGTGAAGGATATTCGATTAGTAATGAAAAAAGGGGCGGAGGGGATCCGTATATGTTGTTCAGGTCGATCAGAAGGTGCAGAAACAGCTAGAACTGAATGCGGAAAGTATGGAAAAACATCTAATAATGTATTTAACCAAAAAATAGATTATGCTCCTGCGGAAGTATCTACTCGTTACAGAATCTCAGGTGTCAAAGTGTGGATTTCATATAGTCAAAAAGAAAGGGGGCATGCTATATCCGAAACGTACGAAATATAGTAAATATCATAAAGGCAGATGTAGTAGGGGTTGCAAACCGGACGGTACACGACTTGGTTTTGGAAGATATGGCACGCCTAGGCAAAAGCTTGAAGCTTGAAGACAGAAAGAGAAGAGAATAACGGGATGCTTTATAGTTGAGGTTGCACCTAATGCTTAATCTAACTATTAGGTACTATACTAAAGAAAGACTCAATCTGCCCAATAATATACGCTAGGAAGAACTTGATTAGGGTTTAATCATCTAGCTCTGCCATAGACGATTCATGGGACTCTGGGTGTTCTAATCCCAAATCAAAATCATCACCGTACCATAAAAAAGAAACCCACACCCAAATTCCCCCACCCTCATCATCATCATCTTCTTTTTCTTGTTTCTCACCTGCATGCACCATTTTTGAGTTTCAGTTTCTGAGTTTTCATTTTCTCCATCAGTGTCGCCATCATCGTTACTGCTTTGAATCGTTACCCTAACCTTTGGTTCGACAGGGACCTGCATAAGGGCTTCTATCCATCTTGTTCATCATCGAGAATACATACGATTAAGGATCCATCTTCACTTAAGAACATATTAGAATTTTTATTACCACCAAGTTGTCGAGCTCTAAACCCATTTTCTTAACACCACCAGACCCCACCATCAGAGAAATTAGGTTTCTTCAGAAGAAAGGGGTGAGGAACAACATAAATCGAAGCAGATCTCCATACATAATCAAAGTTGTGAGATCTAAGTTCAATACACACTAAGAAACTAAAAAAACACACACTCGAAGGAGACGAAAATGTTGTAAACCCAATTGAAGAACGATGAACTTGTGTGTGTTTTCTCTCTGATTTGCAGGTCTAGTTTAAGAGTGTGGTGGTAGACGGTGGGAATGATGATGTGAAGAGAGTGTTGGTTGTCGATGAACTATAACAAATATGAGGTTGTAGGTGGTGTGTCAATGGTGAAAAGATGACGAACCTGTGGGAAGAAGATGGAGTATCTGGTTTTTTTGGTTTTGGAGATA